ATAATAATAATAATAATAGAATGCTTTTTTTAATTGTTATCGATAATTTCTTGTGTTGTCATTTTTTAACGAACGACGCATCAAATTAATAAGCTTTCTCTTCGTTATATATTTCGCTTTCATTAAATAACAAATTAATCATTTTTAATATCTAATGGCTTTCAGATAAATTTTTGAATCTTCCATATATCTCATTTATCTAAATTTTTCTCTAATTTGAAAAAAGTTTATTAAATCGTTGATTATTAAATACCTACTGTATTTAAAGCTTTTTCCTATTTATCTATTATCTGTTAAATTTATCCTAAATACTTTATTACTATCTTTCCTATATTCTAATCTATTTAAAAGTGATTTTTCAATCAATGCTTTCTTTCCTCATCTATGTCCTTCCTTAAGAAATATCTTTATTATACTTATTATACAATACATATCTTAATTATCTGCTCTTATATCTATATCTTCTATTATTCTACTCATTCATCTTTCCAATTTCTTATTTTTTTTTCATTACTCTCGCTGCTTCCTTTTTCGTCAAGAAATTCTTTTTTTTTTCCATTTCCTAAATATCTTCAAATATCATCTATGGTATTAATTTCACTTGATATCAATTTACAGCTTTCCTTTTCATTTATTAATACTTTCTAACTATCCTATAAATTATCTGATTTAATCTGTAATACATTTTCTCACACCTTTACTTTCCTATATGGTTTTCTTTTAATTATTTTTTTTGTTTTTCCTATTACTCTTCTTGCTTACCTTTTTATCTACAATCTTTCGAAACTTTCTGATATATATCTTCTACTATTATCTATTCTATTTATTCAACTTATAAATCAATCACTACTTTCCTCTCATTCATTTCTTTTCTAAATATTCTGTTAACAATCTTCTAAAATATCTTTCCTCACACGTTTATCTTTCTTATTATTTTCATTCAATACCCTTTCCAATTTCTTTTTATTTATTTCTTTCCTAAAAATTATCCGATTTCATTTATTTCCATACGTTATCTGATCCATCGATTATCTTTACCTTATTCTCGATTTATCTACGATTTTTTAATCATCTATTTTTTTTTGTTCTCTCTATTTCTATTCAATACTATTTTTCTTTTTATAAATTGATTCATCGATCAGAAAAGAAAAAATATATCTACATCAAATGTATATAATATACTAATTAAAATGACTTCCATTTCTTGCCTCTTCCGTCTCTCGCGTGTAATTTCATATTCATTAATATAAAATTACAAAAAACAAAAAAACTATTATCGTGAATATAACGCATGTCTCTCGATTTATTAATATTTATAAAACTAATAAATTTTTTTTTTAGCGTAAAACAAATTAATTGATATTACAAATTGATCGATATAATAATACACAGACACAAATACAGAAAATATTTTTAATCTCTCCATAGAATAAAAAAGAAAAAGATATAATATATTAATATGAAGTAAACGAAAAAAAATGATACTTCCTCAAAGAACGTCTCTTGTTGAATATTTGTTATATTATTATATTAAATAACGGATGATAAAAGTGTGCGTAAAAACCTTCGATTTTTATGTCGTGCATAATATATTGGAGCACGTCGATCGGGAAAAGAAAAAGAACACAAATAAAGAAATAAAGCAAAGCAAGGCAGAATACAATGAAAACAATTTAGCATTAGGTTGCAATTTATACAAAAAAAAATATACAAATCTAACATAGATCAGGACAAAATAAAGAGAACGAGAGAGAAAGATAATAAGAAATAGTATAAATATATGATCAATATATTCATCATCAATTAGGTTCGTTTTGACGTAGCACTAATTTTTGTACGTAAAAACTCTTATACAAGTTAATAAATATAATTTAATGAATTATCCTCAAATATCTTCAAAATCAAATGTGATACATTTTGTGTGTACAATGTATTTAATTAATTATTAATTATCAACAAATAAGTATTTGAAAACGTGCATTATTAATGCAGGAAAAAAGACATTTTATTTGGATGCATGGGGAGTTTCATATAATATTTCAACCTGTATATGGGTTTTTTTAAACATAAAAACGTCGTTGGTTTAACGCCCGCAAAAGAATTCCGTTTTAATTCTATATTCATGTTTTTTTTCTAATTACACGACTGACTTCCTTTGATGAAGTATTATTTTATTTTGAATATACGTTCTTTAAAAATATTGGAAATAAAAATAAATTAGATTAACGATACACATTCTTTTAGATATCTCATTGAAACGAGCTTTGCATTTGATTAAAATTTAATTAGAATTTTTCTTAGGCGTCTTATAAACGAAATAGTACAAATTATTATACTTATAAAATGTTTAGAATATTTTTTTTTTCTTTTTATATGCAAAGAAAAAATGATTTATCTATCGAGATGAAAAATATGCTGCAGTTTTTATTCGATCTGCATGTATCTTTTTTCTTTTCTTTTTGATATTTCGATAATCATTGTGTCAATTATACTAAATTTTCGTATCTCGTAATTTAACATGCATAAATAATAATCAAAATAATAGTATTACGAATTATTCTCTCTTCCGCGTTATTTGATCTGATTTCTAAAATTTTCTTATTCCTACATTATTAAATATATTTTTCTATACATGTACATATACATTTCTAAATCATTTTTCGATTTGTTTCAACAATTTAGAACACTTTTTGAACATATATAAATAAATTAATAAATAAATCAATCATTAAAAATAATTTAGAATTAGTATTGATCGTTAAAATATTTCTCAATTATTTAAAAATTCTAATAAAATGCATCTATGCTGAATTTTCTAATATATTATCTTAATGAAATATATTTTATTTAACAAATATATATATATATTTCTATATAATATTTATCCAAAATAATGCACGTAAATCTTTTATATAAATGTTATTACAAGTTAACGCGACTTATGACAACGTTGCGTAATTTATTTTTTAATCATCTCTATCTTTCGATCAAACGAACAAATTATATATATGAAACAATTTGTTTAATAATGCTGCACGATTCTCTCGTATTCTTTTTCGTTTTTTTTTTGCATGCAACGACAGGATTGATGTGTCGCTTGTTTACGTGAATAAATCGATTAATAAATCGATAATGTGTTTGTACATATTGATTTTTAAACTAAATTGATCATATCTTAATGACAAATATAATAATTGTTTTATAATAATAATATTAATAATAAATCTAATATTGTGTCACGTATATTATAACCAAATGAATTAATTCATTAATTCGTATTAAGTGTGATAAAAAAATGAATTGTCGTAAATAATATTTAAATATATATATATTAATATTAAGGAGAGGATTGAACAAGTTGATAAAAATTTCATTGAAATATATTAAGATGTTCTGAAATAATTGTTAAATAATTTGTTATTTAAATATGATCATATATATAATTTTGGAAGCATGAGTATGAAATATGATATACACTCTCTGATACAATACTTTATTAATTAATGAAACTTTTAATCAATTTTTTATACTATAATAATATCTCCAAATTATACTTGTATCTCTGTCAATGATTAATAACATCTCTAAATAATAACATTGAAATATTTTTTTACTTGGATTCAAATATATTTATCTAAGTAAGTAATTTGTTATTTTAAATATGATCATTGTTACGGAAGCATGAGTATGAAATTGAACACTATGAATTTTTTAAAAGCCATTGCTTGTTCCTCGTATTACATTAAAAACGACAAACAATTAAACAACAAATTCAATAAAATTTCTTATATTTTTTGTTTGTTTGTTGAGAACTCTATACCCAGTTAAAAATTTGTATTTAAATCATAAAATATTTATATATAATTATGAAGGAATATATTATATGTGACAATATTAATGAATTTGTTCTAAGCAAGTTTTCAATCGCTTTTCTATTTATACATTTCACGTGTGTGTATATTAATTACACAATTTTTACAAAATCACCAAATTGTTTGCATGAATCAGAATCAAAATTGAAGGCACTATATACATATTAAATAAACATTTTATCTTTTCTTTTTTTTAACGATGCAATCCTATAATTAAATTTCCTATTGTTTGACAATGCGTTTGCAAGTTGAAACAACGTTTATACAATAAATCTAAAAAGCCTCATAGACAATACTCTAGATTTTGTGCATTTTAATAATAGCATAATCTATTAAAATAATAATGCGATGTAAGAATAATAAAAATAAATTGAACGAATTATAATAAACTAGAAGCTAATTATATAGTGTCTAGTAACAAAATTGTGCTTTTGCAATGGCCAAATACTATTTGTCTTTTCTTATATTTTCCAATTTTCTTATTCGCTTAAAGGGAGCGTAAAGTTACACTTAATAATTAAACAAATATATAAATAATACTTCGAAAATAATATAAAGTAATATATTTCTTAAAAAGAAAAAAAAAATAATAAATACGAGATGCATAATGACAGAAATATTATATATCACTATGATTCTAATTAAATACGAAAGAAATTTGGTAAAATGATTGAATTGATAGGAATGAATCATTTTTGTTAGTTTAATTATCTTTTTTCTTAGAAGTTATTGCTAAATAACAAAAGGAACCATGATGGGGTACAGGTTGTGATGCTAAAAAGGCACCATCGTCTGGTGATAATGATGCTATCATTGATTTTTCTTTATCCGGGTCTTCTAAATCATTCGTTGAATCTAATCCATCATCGATAACGTCATTTATTTTATTGTTAGGCTAAAATATTCAACAAATTAATTAACACGTTAAATAGACATTATTAAATCGATTAAGAATTGAAAATATTCATCCAAATTAGAAAGAACAAAGAATTATGAAGAAACTGTGTTAACGAACATTTGGAACGAGTTGCAATAAATAATGATTGATTATATTTGATATAAAGCGTTGGCAATATTTTATTATAATAATTTTCACACAACACCCCATTGGTATAAATTAATCAAAAGAAAAATTAATATTATATATTAATTCCCCACTGTAGGAAATATATTTGATTCAACATACGAGATACCCATCGAACGATACAAAATTAACAAAATATAATATATTTATTACAAATTTATTTAAACTTATATTTTCCCGATATATATTATCAATTTTTATAATGCAACAAACAACTCTCTATACTCCCAATAGAATAATATTAAAAATATATACTATACTTATTTATTTAATTTACGTACGATGTGAGAAAAAGATATATAGAAGATGATTTAGAAAAAGAAAACAAAGTTAAAATGAATAAATTAATAAAATTTACTGACAATAAAATCTGCTATTTCCGTGAGGGAACCAATAATTGGCGGTGGTTTATCGAATGGTGATTTAAGCTGACCTTCTTGAAGATTTAATACTAAATAATGCATAAAATCATTCCTAAGTCGTATTTCTACGATATCGTTGCTGGTATTATTCATCAAAAAACGTAACCACTTGACTGCGTTTTGCCGATCTATTAAAAAAGAACAACAAAAAAATAGCAAAGAGAAAGTAAACGAAGAAACAAATTTATATGACAATTGCATTTGATGATCTAATCGATCCTTCGAATCGTAGAACAACATAAAATGTTTTCCAAGGAATTTGCAGGCACTCTTATTTAAATGCAATTAATAATTATTTATAATAAGAAACAAAGAAAGAAAGAAAAGTGACCTTTTTGCAAGCTAAATTGAATTAATAATTGCATTAAAACGTAAGTTTATATTAGCGCATATTATACGAATTAATATTACACAATAAAATATTAAAATTATTTATTAAATAATATTATGCAATTAAAAATATTAAAGCTTAATGATATTATTAGATAGCATGCTTTCAAATTCACGTGGGTTGTTGTTTTAACACGCTTATCCATGCATTTGATTATAATTAAATGTTAGGATTACTTTAATCATTATTTCTAGAATTTTAGGAACAGATAAATCATATTTCAATATATATTGTTTTTTCAATTAAAAATATTTAAGAGAGAAACACACACACAAAGATGTAATTAATTCGAAAAATAATTTATGCAATGAGAGCTATGTGACAGAAGCTTAAAAAAGAAATAATAAAAAAATAATAAAATGGAATAATGGGGAATAAAAAAGAAAACCAGTAAGTGTAGTTTTTTTTACTCGAGAATTAACATATATAAATTATTGTTAATATATAATATTTTACTTATTATTTATAATTAATATAAAGGAATACCGCGAAATTTCTTCATGTCGATGACCAAACGTTTGGCAAGATAAAGGTTATAATTGCAATCATAATTAAGACTAGCTATGTCATCGTCCATTTCTTTTTCTTTTTTTTTTAAAATAAACAAACTCTTTTTATATCCTTAGGTGAAAGAAATTTAGGTACAATATAAATGAAAGTTACCCGATGATACGTATTAAAAATTGCAACTAATCAACTGATAGTTTTATATCTATCATAATTTATCAACAATTATTATTATAACTACATTCACGTAATTGAAAAATATATTTTTTTTTATCAATTATATGACACCAAGTATTTGATCGAATGACAATGATTATTATGGTTATGAAAGAATAAATTTGATGCATAAATTGAATTCTACGAGAGCAAATGAATGAATGAAAACTTTTAGGAATAAATGAGTAAGGTTCGTGTTACAACAATATATATTATTATTTATGAAATTATATATGAAGGAAAAGATAAATGAATATGATTATTAAATACACAATCACAATGACACTATCAAATTAATATCTATCGTAAAACAAAAAGGGGATACATTTTTTATTCACACAATCTCTTCAGTTTTTTAATTATTTCAAATAAAAATATATAAAAATCTGTTTTCACATTTTTAATATCACCTTTTATCTATCCTCAAAATTGTAGTATTTTCAAATTTTTCTTTTTATCTTGTTAGATACATTAATTTTAATCTTTCCGGCCTTTTAAAACTTTGCGAAGCAAAATATTTATTCAAATTAATATTATATAATACATATAATAATTGAATTATTATAATTATTTCATAGATATTTTTTTCGGATACTACTCTTGGAAGATTTGAGTTTTCAGGTACCATCAGATCGAGTGAGGGGTGAAAATGGATAAGAACAACGAGTTAAAAGTCAAATTAATTGTTTCTAATGTTAGAAAATATAAAAGTAATGAGAGAATAATTTTATCTGCCCGCACGAAAACATGAAATACAATATAATTAAATAAACAATAAGACGGAATAATTACAATGCTATGATGCTCGAATTGAATACTATTTTAATAAAATAAAAATGAAATAAAATAGCTGATGCATATGAAAATAATTTACGAATATTTAACATGGAATATCGATCAAAGAAATGATGGAAAATTTATATGAACAATTGTAAAATTTATTTAAATAATTATAATTCTCATCTAAAAGAGAATGATGGAAAAAAAGAAATATAAATTAATTGCGGGTTTCAACAATGCTGTTCACCATAAATAGAGGTTAGTATTTTATATAAACATTTGTCATATTTTATTAACTTAATAAATGTGCATATAAAATCATTTTGTTTTTCTTTTTTAGGGAAATACCTTCTGAAAGAAGTGTGCTATTCACGAGTAGTTATACTACTTAACCCTGACGATTGAATTATGTGAAATGATGTTAACGATGATACGAATAATAATACTAAAACAAATATATATAATAATAAACGAGTTATCTGAAAAATTAGATATAAGATATAATATGATTAATAAGATATACGGATATAAGAAATATTATAATATAGAAAGTAGAAAATATTTTTAAAATGATAGTACAAGATGTCGTTACAACAGTAAAAATGATCATTGAAAAAGATTACGAAAAAATATTTATTATAGAAAAATTATGAAGCATAATAAAGGGCACGTATAATATAATACGAAATATATTATTTGTAAAATAATATGTATACTTTTATGAATAATCATATTAATTTATAATACACGAGAAAGAGATGAATGTAGAATAATTTTTAAACGAAAAGGTTTAAGCGTAAAGTTTACGTATTACACAGTACCTGTAATATATTTTGTGACAAAATAGAATTTATGATATAAAATATATAGAGAAGAATGGAAATAGATAATAGTAATGATATAAATGACATAAATTAATATTTAAATGATATAAAATAAAAGAATAAAGTTCGATATAATATCAGACTTCTTCTCTACAATCGTTAGAAATAAATGTTAATTGAGAAAAACATTGATGGCAATCATCGTATTGTTTGAAATTGTATAAAGAAATATATTTGCATAATTTAATGTAGCCCCCAGCAATTATAAAAGAAAAAGAAAAATGAAGTATCACATACAGAAGGATTCAAATAAAATCATAATTAAAATAAATATATATTAACTATGACAAACATGCAATTAATTGATTGTACAAATCCCTTTCCTTGTAATTATTATCTTTACGCAAATTTTCTTAATCTGATTCAAAGTAAATTTCCATTATATTTCGCAATCAAATTTTTTTTATTATACATTATTTTATTATTTATAAAAATCATTAAAATCCATTTGCAAAAAGTATATAAAAAATATTTACCGAAACTTTTCAAAGAAATTGCAAAGATGCACAATCTACAGCATTGCATTCTCAGACTTTTTATGAACCTTTGCAGATTGATTTATAACTCAAAAAGGTATTTTACGTGTACAGAAAAGAGTGTACTTTAATTTAATATAAAAATTATTAAAATCCATTTGCAAAAAGTATCAAAAATATTTACCGAAACTTTTCAAAGATATTGCAAAGATGCACAATTTACAGCAATTTGTTCTGTAGATAAGTTACCAATAAATGTACCTGCAGAAAAATCAATAAAGTCGGTAATATCAATTGTTGGAATTGTTACTTACGGAAGATGTATCAGGAAAAAAAACATGTTAGTTGATAAAATATTGACTGCACTCTGCATTATCATTGATTAAACTATTGTATAGAGACTTATTCTGTACAATTTACGAATATAATACTTCGTAGAGACTTATAATTTTATTTTTGTATTAATAATTTCTAAATATTATTAAAGATTATTATTTTATTTATACAAGTTTTTAATCATAATTATAAATACACACCAATCTACTTGAACAAAACCACATATTGATTTTGAATACTATGAAAGAGATATATATATATAGAAAATTTATAGAAAACATGCGCAAACATATCGATGTATAATAGACAAATCAATATTTAACGAGAAAACTATAGATTATACTGTCTACAAAGAATCACAAACCCTTTTATTAAATATACTTCAAGAAACTTTTTAAATTACAGTCTACAACTCATAAATATAATTGCGTATCATTTTGTATTTTTTAATTTTTAAAAAGTCGATGTGATCCTTCGATTTTTGTTACGTCTGAAAATAAAAATTCACAAAATATATATACATTCATTAATATAAATATAATTATAACAGTAACTAATTATTCGTAATAATATAAAATGTTGAAACAGTTTATACGTAAAACTTAAAACACTTACATATCAAGCTCACACACACGCGCGTTTTTTTTTCACATACATTTTATAATATTTATTTTACTACTTAATAAAAAATAATAATTAAGTAACTGTTCTTAACATGTTACAATATGCTGCAGCCGTTTTAATAACCTACAACCAACTGAGATACATTTAATAATCAATATTACAATAATTGCAAGAAATATTTGTCAAACTTCTCGTATACCTGACCAAACGTTTGAAGAGAAAGTTCTATTACATTTCCTGCTGTGATTCTCATTGGGCAATGAGAAATAGCCATAATTAATATAACACTTTTGGCTTTGTCGTTTGGCAAACGATACCAATCCAATATGCAAGATGTTAATGCCACTTTTTCTGCCTAACACACGTAATAATTTGATTTCATTTAAAAATATAAATAATAATCTATGATCTAATAAATACAAGAATGTTTAAATTACATATACATATTAATAAAACGTTCTACCTGTAAAGTAAGTTGTTCACCGACAAAACAGAACATAAAAATGTGAGATGTAATTGACAAAAGACCAACGAAATACGTGCAAATACTCGTAATAGTATGGTTACCCCATTCCTTCAAAATGAATACAATTATGTTATGTAAAATTATCATTAACGTTAGGTAGTAGAAGAAAAAAAAAAAAGAAAGAAAGTGAATAACACGAGTACCGTAATCAAACAGTACCCAAAAAAACACATGGTCAGTGTACAACCCATTAGCTCGATCAAACAAATTTGTTGCATCGTAACTTCGACAGTTTGTAAGAAACTACAAAAAACACGTATTATTGTTATATCAAATATACAAAGTCAAAATTACGATTATTTAATATAATACAATGAATTATTAATTATTCGGCATACCTTCTTACTCTAATCTGATGTTCGACAGTAATAGAAATGAGTTTATTCGTTCGTTCTTTTTCTAAATCGGTTTGTTTAACAATACCTTCGATCAAATCAACAAGAATTTCTAATTGGCCGCATGCGTGCATGACGAAGAGTGCTGCAAGTCCGCAGATAGCTGTTGTAATGGAATAAGTTACCAATCCTGAAACGCATTGCAAGCAAAATACGATCTCGTAATTAGGGGTTATTTGTTCATCGAAAAATATGTAATAAGCGGAACAAGGTAATGGTCTTATTGTAATATTTTGTGGTGTTACAATAGTACCCCTAGATAGAGGTAGAAAAACTCTATTAAAACCACCGCTACTGTACATGAGTATTCCACAAATGAACAACAATCGTCTCCCAATTTTAGCTTTTTCTTTCATGATCGTTCGATAATTTTCTATACCGATACTTTTCCAATCCTCTTCTACGTGCCTCAAACAACGCGCTATTTGATTTTCTTGTAATATTAATCCGCTGTATTTTGCCACCGACATTACATTGTAAAATATCAAAGGTAATTTTTTTAACTTTGCGTGAGGATTAGTTTCTATCATGATCAAATGTAATATCGCTGGTATTACGAAAAAACAAAGTAAACCGTAACAAATTAATATTACGATCAATTTGAATATACTTTTTGCTATTGTATTCCTCGTATTCTTCGAAAATGGCCATACGCCTAACGTACGAAGCAAATAATCGCACAACTCGTTCGTGTATCTTAAATCTTCTTCGTAATTTTTATTCTCCTCGTATATAATCATAACAAAGTTGTTTTTTTTTTTTTTATTTGTTTCTTCCTTTTCCTTTTCTTTTTCTATCTTTTTATTTCTTTTCTTTATTCTTTATTTTTTCTTTCCCCCAGTTTTTCTTTTTTCTTTGACCCCTCTAACGGAACAGGTTTGCAAGAATGATTGCGTTCGATTTGCTTCTGTAGTTTCGATGAAAATGATCGCGTTTAAATGAAAACTCTTACGTTAGTGGAATAGCAATCGTAATATTCGTGCGCTTGCGTATCGTTAGAATTATTCATGCAACTTAAACTCAAACGTTTTCTATTAATTTCTTGAAGATACGTTTGTGAAAAACACTCGGAAAGGAAAGGATGAGAGAACAACGGAAGTTTGTCTGTTTTATATTTTTCTTTTTTTTTTTTTCTTTCTTTTTTTATTTCAACGGGGGATTCGTTGAAAAATTCAATGGAAAAGTTTCAACGTAGTATTCTAAGCTTGTCATTTTTCTAAGGTCTATTAGAAAGTTTGAATTTTATTTTGATTTCCTTTAGACGATCATCTTTCCTTACAAATCGCGAATACACGTATGATGATTTCTATTTACTATTTTCTCTCAGATTAATTTAAACGTTTATATTTGTTTTGTTTATCTGAATATATTTTTGTTTAAGTGATACATTTATAATAAGATAAATTTAACGATAAGACACTTGATTGGTTACTTTCAATGATTATTGTGATACTCGGTTTGTGAGATTTAAAAAAGAATATCGATAGTTTTTCTTTTTTATGATTTTGTTGTATATAGCCAGGATTTTTATTTTTTCATATTGAGAGAGAAATAATTCATGCAACCATGGTTCGAAGAAAATTCAGGTAGGCAGCCGAAGTCTTGCAAACCTACGAAAAATTTGATTCAAATCTAACAATTTAATGATACCTTTTTCGTTAAATATATATAGTTATGAATATTGTTTTATTATTATTTGTTAATATTGAATTAAATATTGAATTGATCGTTTCTAATTTAATGTTAATCAAATATAAAATACATTTATCAACATAATATCGATAATTACTCACATCGCAGAAACCTTGTAGTGATACGTCAAAAATTTTTCCAGCTGTTAAACGAGATGGTCGATTAGAACGTACAATTATCATAACCAAATCGCTTATTATAGTATTGGGAAGACGATACCACTCGATTGAATATGTTGATTCGCCAACCAGTTCGCTCTTTCGACAACACAACATTTGTAAGTGAAAATATATGATAAGAAAAAAGAAAAGAAAAGTAATTGCAATAATTGAAATCTTAATAAAATGATTACCTCTTCTTTTAGACGATCACCAATGTAAGAAATGATAAAAACGTTGACAAAAATTGACGTCATTAATACCCCATATGTCATCATACCCAAAGTTTCCTTATCTTCCCAATCCTACAAAGTTTCAAACAATTTATTTCAAAATAATACTAAACGTAAAGAACAAACTTTTATGCGTGTTGAGATCAAAAATATAAAGAAAAAAATAATAAATTTTGACACGTATTATATAAATACACGCGTTTATATTATATTCATTCAAAATTATTATATGAGTAATAATCGTATCTCAAATAGATTTGTTTATTTTCAATGAAATATTTCCCTCTCGCATAATTATACACAAAAGAGAAAAATGTATGTTTAATATAATTTAATACATACCACGAGTACACCAAATTCTAAGAAACAGATAATAATAGTACACCCAACCATTTCGCAAAGAAATACAATATTCAATGCCTGTTCAATTTTTTCGGCGTACCTGAAATTATTCAGAAAAATTGGTTTAATTCCCCAAAAAAAATCTGTCAAATAAATCATTTCAAAATTAACCAACCTGATAGCTTGAAGATGATTGTCAACGATAACATAAATCCTCTTACGAAGATTATCTTCATTATCGTATTGAAATATTGTATCAATTTGTCTGCGTACAACTTCGAATAGACAACATGAGTGCATAACGCAGCTGGCGATTAAACTGTAAACACCGCAATTGGTTGACAATATAATACTGCTTACGAATATCTGACCGACGAAGAATATCTCAAATATCGGTGAAGTTTCGACGACGAAGAAAATATAATCACTGAGATAGGGTAAGGGTAACATTGTAGTATTATCATCCTTGACAATTGGTTCAGCAACCAAGGGTAAAATAATGTGATAGGGTAAAGCCCCACCATAGGATAAACTTAAATAAGCTATTGTAAAGAGTCTACCAATTTTAGCACTCTTAACCATAACCATTAAATCATCCTGACATTCAACTTCCTTGTATTGTCGTTCCATTTCCAACAAACAATAACCAATTTCTTTTCTATTAATTATCACCGTCCAAAATTTAACAATTGCAAGCGTACTGAACACCTGGGCGGCTATAACTTTCATCTCTTTTATTAATTTTTCAGCATCGAAGTACGTGTAAATCAAATGGGGTATCAATAGACAACACATCAGACCAAATATCAAACTTATTTGAATATACATTTTGATTTTGTCGGATAAACTGTCGCCACGATACAACGGCCAGATACCTATCGGTGTTAAAAGGGTTCGTGCAACCTTCACCACGTAATCAACGTCCGATTTGTATCCGTTATTACGAAACCCTAACTCTTGCGTCATGTTTTTTCTTTTGTTTTTTTTTTTCTATCGGATATATCGAAAGAAACTGTTTTATTCTTTTTTCCTTGTGGGGCTTACTTATTTCGGTACTCGTACCACATATGTTTTTATGATTTCATACAAAGATTACACACTTATTTCAACGATCAATAATAATTCAAAGTAATTTATGGACATCAGAATTCTTTTGTTAAGTGTAAGAAAGGGGGTAAGAAAATCGGCCGGACGGCTGGCCGGTTGTTTTTTTTTATGACACGCGATTCCAGTGCTCGCGAAATAACTTTCGAAAATTGTTCGTTGTTAAAGCAATCGTTGAGACTTGCATATCGTTATACTGTTTTTGTTGCTATTAATAATTCAAAAGGGTTGGATTTTTTTTTTTTTTTACCATCTCGTCGAAGTTCAGTTGTCGTTTGTAATGCGAACGCGAAACGTTTCGAAAAAAGAATTCTTTGTTCTTGTGATTATTTTTTATGTCTCGATCAAGCTAAACTGCTTCTTGTCATATATATTATTATTTGTTTCTTTTTTTTTTCGTTTTCTTTTTTTTTCTTTTTGGCTAATCTTATATATATATAACGACGTATATTCGCTTAAACATACAAACTTTGTAAAGTAAATCTATGACATATAAATATGCGATAAAACGTACTGAATTGTTAAACACAGAAACACACACATACACGCATACACGCACACACATTTGTCGGAGTCTTTTGAACGCATTTTCATTAGCGTTTCTCGTTTTTCAGTAAGAAATTGAGCGGGGACGGAAAATTCAGAAACTTATTATAAAATAACGTTAATCGTTTCATCGTCGTTCATCAGGTAACCTTGGTATGCTGTATTCCGATTGCATTTGAATCTTTTCGATATCCTGCAACGTTGTTACACCTTGATCCTGTTTCCAAAAAAAAGAAAAATAATCAAAAAATCAATTGTATTTAATAATTGTGAATTAAATTAGAAACTTTAATATTTTAATAAAGTTCATATAAATTTGTAATAAATTTTGTATGAAACATTGTTTATAATCGGTAGATTAACAACTTACGTTAAATTCTTTCCATTTGTCGTAATTGTGTTGCGTGTAACCAAGTATTTCTGGCATGTCAATGAATGCTACGACGAATAATCAATATATCATTATTATTATTTGTTTTAGTCAGATGTAAAACAAACAAAATAACAAATTATAATGTACTAACCGTCCCAAGCTTCGATCATGTCGTTTATGATGAAATCAATGAAACCAATTTGTGATTTTGGTATAGAACATATCATCCTGTCGAACATTGGCATTACTATTGGAATTTTTAATTGTTTCTCCTCATCAGTCTGGAAAATAAAGTACAAATAATATTGGGATTTTCATTTTGAATACGGTAAGTATCAGAAATAAATTTGATTAATTGATCAATAAACAAATACATATCAATAAATAATATTAATATGATTCGTGCAAGTTGATTTAACGTGTAAGAAAATTTAATTTATTTTAGCCGATGATTAGATGAAAATTAAATTATAAAATTGTTTCGAATTTATATTCATACTTGACTGAAATATTCTTCAGCTATTCTTCTAGCCCATTCTACGCAAGCTCGTAATGGTCTGGTAGGATTTGACACGTCGGCACATTTGATCATCATTCTTCTTACGAGTATTACATTATCCGGTTGTAAAAGTATTGCATTGTCAACTCTATCAGAAGAATACTGAACACAAAAATTGGATATTTTAATAATACTGAATTAATTCGATAAAATATTCATTGTTTTACCTTCATTGGTTGATCTTCTTCAACCCTTAAACTACAAACGTTCATAAATTTTGCCAAATGTTCGAAATGTTTCGTCATTTCTGTTGCCAATATCATATCGATTATGTCTGTTCTTAATTTCTTGTACGTATCACGATCTAAATTCTGAAATACAAATAATATTTTGAAACAAAAACGAATAATAAAATAATTAGCACTTATAATTCACATTTATTTGTTAATAATTATATTGTAAAACTGTTTTTATTTTTTATAGGAAACAATAATTTACCTTAAAAATATTAACTTTGTCATCTGCTAATGATATTTTAAATGTCAACGCTGCATGATGCGATTCGAGGACTGACAGATCATTGTAAAGTATTGCCAATTTGTTGTTAGAGTTGGATAAAAATTGGCTGTAGAATTTGTAAATAATACAATAATTAATAACATTGAAATATTGGACGAGAAAACAATGTAAGATTATAATTGTTTCATTACACAAATAATCTAATTATCGTTAAGAAATGATTTTTATTCAAACAATCTGACTTTTATGTATACTGACGTATAAAAAACATTTCTTTTATTTATTATCAAGCTTCGGAACACTTTGATGTTTAGGAGAAAAAAGAAAAAGTATTTTGAAATCGTAAAAACTAATTTAAAGACTATAATCTACCTTGATCTACCAGGATGATCGATGTCATGGGCTGCAGCAGCTATCAAAGCAGCAACCTCATCCAACGGTTCCAAAATTTGTTTCAATCTTTCCGACTGCATAAATCTTGCAGTAGCTTGCATTACGTCTGCCGCATGAGTTGAATTATGGTAACTGTTATCCGATCTATAATTAGCCTCGATTATACTCAACCAGTTTTGTATGATATTTTCATCGCAACCCAATCTGCTTGGTACATCGAACATGTTCATTATGGTTCTACCGAGATATAGTAATGGCCTGTGAAAACATAAATTTAGATTTTTTTTTTTGTTTCTCTTAAATTATATCTCAACGAAATGTATCGAATGTGTTTCATTTAAATCCTAATAAATAACGTTTCAATATATATTTTACGATCGAAAATGAAAATAAATGTGTTTTATATTCTTAAAACGTATCGATCAAAAATTTATTATCTTTCTGTGAATTATATTTGATTTATTATTATTTTATTACTCTCGTGTTAATATTATTATATTACGATATGTTTCTTATTTACGATTGCATGATAAAACAAATAATGTAACAAATTTTGTTACCGTTTTTCCGTCAAAACCTCGAGTTTAAATATATCAAAGTTCCATTCGAGACTGTTTTCTAATAATTCCATAATTTCTTGAGGTCCCCTATAAGCCTTTAATGGGGTCCTTGCAGATATTATGCTTATACCTCTGACTGCTGATAATCTGGCAGAATCAGCTGATGATCTTCTCGAATCCCAAGGATTACGAGAAGACTGAGAACAATTATAATTATATTAAATATTAAAAAGGAACAAGAGAAACAATATATAATAAGACCAAAAAAAAACAAATAAATGAAAAATTACCGAAAGTAATGCACCAACAAGATCGGTTGCAACCGGATCGGTGTAAACTTTATCATCTCGAAAATGTGGAACATATAATTCAGTTGTTTTTAATATTTCTATTGCCTAATACGAAAAATGATTGATTAAAAACTCAGGAACGCATCATTGTGTCAATGATATTTTCTCATATTTTAAATTCAATCTTATCGGTACTGTTAATAAAAATTATTTGATTTTTACCTTATCGATTTGTGCAACTGTTTCAGGATTCGTTGATTCCGAAATGGCATAGGAAAGCAACGTGATTACTTTCGTAATTGGTGCTTCCAATTGTAAACTGTGAAGTTTTTGCAAACTCGATCGTCTATGCCCTTATATAAACGAATATTAAAAATGTTTTATAAAAATAAAAAGATATATATATTTCTGATGATAAATTGAAATATTATAAAGGTTCGAGTTACCATCGCTTAAGGCAGATTTAACGTCGGATGATTTCCTACCGGAAAGTAAACTCATTCTTTGCATTGATGATGAATTGTTTATCGGACTTAGGGGTCCTGAATTTTCCAATAAATATAACGTATCGTAAATGTATATAAAATGAGTCGCCTTCCTAAAAAAAATTATTATATATATTTATAAAAGATAATCAAATAGCACAATTTGTACGTGCATTATATTGCCAAAATTTTGTTTTATAAATAATAAAATAATGCAAGATATGAACGAAATATATCGAATTACTTTGGTGTAATACAAAATGGTATTATCCTGCAATTGATAGTAATCATTTGATTATTTTTCCTCTTGCAATTCATGTTCCCTTCAAATTCTCTGCCCTTGCTTAATTGTTGTTCCATCAAAGTAAAGTTTTCGTAATGGACTATTTCACCGAGATTTCTTCCTGTCAATTCTTCCGTTTTATATCCTAATAATTTTTCGCTCACTTTGTTAACAAACTGTCAATAAAAATAAGACGAAATCATAGACGAAAAATGATTTTACGAAAAAAGTATACTAATTTTTTCGTTTAAATAAAAATAATTAATACCTGTACGATGTTTCTTTCGTTTGTTATGTGAACCATATCGTGACACCTGTCAAGTGCCAAATACAATGCGTGAGCCGACGCTAATTGGGTTTTCGGTAATACTGAACTGGTATAAATTCCTACTAATTCGTTTATCAATATACCCTCGTTCGAACACTCCATAAGTGTCTAAAAAATGATCACCATCAAAAAATCCTTCACTTATTTTTAATTATTTCTTTTTTTTTTTCGTTTAAATAAAATCATACATAAAATCAACGCTCATTTTGTTTCCAAGAATAAAAACTTACTCTTGAAAATCCTTTCTCTAATAAATCCAAGGTCACAATTTCGTCTTTTTCACTGTTCATTAAATATCTAAACAAAATAAAGATTATATTAATTTAAATTTTATTTTGATTACAGAAAAACACAATTCGTGATTTTTACTCACGATTTTTTAACGAGTGCAACGATGACGGAACTGTGATAAACCGGACTAGATTTGATTGCTCTGTGTGAAATAAAGAAATGATGAAAGATAATTAGAAAAAGAGGTAAATCGTATAAATAAATTCTATATATATATATTTATTTTGTTTGTGAAAAAGATTTATAATTATTATTGCATTCGACGTACCTACAAATCGCATCACCCTCGACAGCACGTTGTCCTCTGTGATCGATTATCACTAATTCGTGACCACGTGTTTGAAAAATTTCTACGGCTTTTTCCGTATCTTTAGCCACCGACACGCTCCAACCCAAACGACCCGAAATATTAGCAAGTATTTCCATTTGTTGATCATCTTTACTAAAAACTAATAATATCTACAGAAAAGAAGAAAAAGAAACGTCAACGTAATAATGAATTTTTGATTAAATCAAACCTGTTCACGTGTGCCCCAAATATGATATAATATAATTTAATTCATTTCGTTTATCCATTTTGTTTAATAATAATATAATAATGTTGACTTACTTTTATAAGCCCAGGTGCACTCGAAGTTAAAAGATGAGAGTTGATATCTTGCGGTCCCTTCTACGAAATAAATTTATAGATAAAACTTAAATGAAAATAAAGAAACCAAAAATTATTCTAACGAAAATATATATAATAAATATATAGAAATCAAAATAGAAAATAATAAAACGTTAGATAAGTCGTAAGAATAAACACACAATCCTAAATTTTCCAATCGATAACAGTTAACGATTTAGAAACATACTTATTACGATTTCGGTGCATCGTCAGGGAAATAATTTACGTACTCCTACGAATTCGTTATCAAGATATTGCAATCGAAGTTGTTTGTAAATTTCCGCTCGTCTTCTTGATCGTGGACTAGACACGAAACCATTTTTCTTTTCTAAATTACCATTCAAATCCTTCATACTTATATGTTTTATCTTTTAATTGATTTAGGTTACATGAAAAATAAATTATTAAACGTGAAGTTGAGCGAATAATTTAAAAACAATGCCAACTACGATATCAAAATATAATTTCTATATTAATTTATTTATATATTATATTTTTATCATTTATAATTTATTTATTTCTTTATTTTTCTTCATATTATTAATATACCACGAGATAAATATTAAGTCAGTAAAAATATATATATATATATATTTGTGATTAATAATAATTTTCATTTGAAAACGTACCGTAATTGGTAAAGTACGGTTTTTGGATAAACTTGGCAAATCGTGCATTTGTTTATTGGTCTTATGCACCGACCATTTTGAACTCATGCTACCACATAATGTATCAATGATACTTGAGTACCACGGATGAGAATTATTATTATTATTAATATTCTGATTCTCAGTCGAACCACAAATGTATAAAATCGGTTGAGTAGACCGTCTTGGATCATTCATCTTTTTTCACGATCAGTAAAATAAATAAATAATATACACAAACACAGAAACACTAACATGCATATAAACGTGTACACACAATTCTATTGAAACTTATTCCAAAGATAATGAAAACGCGTGTGGTGGAACATTATTTAAAAAAGGATTAAAAACTAATGCAGAAAATGTTTCTATGGGACAATCGTTATGATACTGATCATCGTGAATCGGATAACGAGATTGTCTTAACGATATTGTTAAAAACAGAAGTCGAGATAATATCATCGATAAGCAAGTTCCTCCAATGAAATAGTTCTTGATAATAGTACATTTTACGTATAAATCGATAACATTTTTAATCTTGTAAATAAAAAATGTTCTTGTTAAAAAATAAGAAAAATAAAATGAAGAAAAAGAATGAGAATAAACAAAATAATGTTCCATCCATTTTAACGATAACACAATTGTTTTCTTTTTTATTAATTTTATGAGAAAAAATATGTATATATATTATTTTTTGTCCTTAAGCAATCTTATTGTCAATGTTCTAGATTGGTTATCGAAGATTGTTTATCGATTATTAGTTCAATTAAAAATTCTCATTGGTTATATGCACTCGTTATATGATGTGAATATTTATGATCCGTTGATTAAGAATTGCAAATAATTCAAAGACAATAAATTGTCTATTTCCAATCTAATCGATAAAAAGGAAAAGAAAAGAAAAAAAAAAAAAGAAAAGAAAATTAAAACAGAAACGTCATAAAGCAAAACATTTTATGTTCTTATCTTTTATCATAATGTACTCGTGTACGTGTGTGTAAATGTCTGAGTATTATTGAAACGTCATTCGTATTGATACGTCACTTCGAGCACTGATAAAATAACATAATTAAAAGAAACAAAAAGAAAAAAATAATAAATAACTCACTATCACTGGATAATCCGCATCCTCTTCCAAGGAACGACGAATTTCTTCTAACGTTTCCTTCTCCGCCACGATATCGTACATATCTGTGCGTTCTAAAATCGTAAATAAAAGTTTTATTTATTAATAAACACGATATATATATATATATATTTTTCAATAATATTAATTTATATCTTAACACGAATCGATCTTGATTAAATATAAATAAATATTTAACTCGTTACTTTTATTTGTGTAATATTATATACTTTCTATTTTATCTGTATATCATTGAAAAAAGAAAAAAAATTGAGACTCTTACTACAACAACCAATTAATTACATTTCTAATTATATAGATACAATATTCTTTTTAATCGTTTACATGTCTTTTTTTTTTTTTTTAAATTAATCAAACATTAATCTTTCATACTTCTTGTAAACACATAATAAAAAAAAAAACACGTTGACATATGTTTGACACATTTTCAATTTCCTCGTTCTTACAATTAATTAAAATTCATTATACGAGCACGTTGATTAATTAATTGTTTATACATTGATGTTTAAGTAAATTAATCGATTAACCAAGATAATCTTTTTATAAATTAGTTTATACGAGAATAAAAAGAGAGAGAAGAGAACAAAAATAAACACACACACACACATAGCAGAAGACAGACAGAAATCGACCTTTTACGAGATACGTGTGTGTGTCGTACGTTTGATACGTCGAGGAGCTATAAAAAAATAAGAAAAGGAAAAAGAAAAAATAGATGAAGAAGAAGAAGAAGAAGAAGAAGAAGGAGGTTAAACGAGGTTGCAGCTTCTTTCACTCACTCAAAGTTTATTCCTATACGAATAGATCCGTGTTTAAAGATAATTGAGCGAAAGTGGAACGGCTTAATTGGTCGTAACTAATACGTGATCTACGAGGCCAATAAAATCATTCGAAGAAACTTTTTGATCCTATTCAATCGTCAACAATAAATGATACTAATGTATAAGGATACTTTTTATTAATATTAATTATAATATGTTATTTCATTAATATCTATTCTAAAAAAAAAAACTATTTTTATATCTTTCCTTCTTGCATTACGATTTATCAAAAGCTTTTACATACTTTATCTTTTTTTCGATGATTTCATAACGATGAAATTTTAAATGAATAGAAAGTGATTTGAAATAAATAAATGTATTTTATTGATTGAGAAAAAGAAAAAAAAGAAAAAGAATATACTTTAGAAGTATGATAAATATATTTTAAATCGTAGATAAATAAGAATTTTATTTAAACAAAATTTATATTTTTAATTAGTTATTTCTCTCGTCCAAAATTATAATTCTTAATACGGAATCACAGGGAACTTGGACATAAAAAGAAGTAGAACTTAATTTAACTAAGTTGAACGTTTCATCCCTTTATTGGGACTTCTTCAGCAACTTAATATATATATATATTTAGAAATTATATATACTTTATATAATACTTTAATTATANATTTATATATATATTTAAAGTATAATAAAATTATAATTATAATAATTATAATATATATATATATTTGGAAATTAGACGAATACACATACACAGACCACATACCATCGTCATCGGTGAATAATTTATCGTCCAAGTTATTATGCTCGTCGGAGAAATAAAACGAGTCCAAAGGCGCGTCCATATGAATGATCTCACACGCAAACTAGGGTCGTCGTCTAATCGTAGATAGCCTAATCGTAGATCGATATTCCCGAGGTTTTTTTAATTCGAAATAAATCGATAGCATGTCACACATATATGTATATGTATATCGATCCGATTTTTTTTCCTTTCCTTTTTTTTCTTTTCACATTAAATTTACTCACTCACTTCGATGAAGTAATTTCGGTCGAAAACGAAACAAAAAAAAAAACAAAACAAGGAGAAAGTTAATAATAAAAAAAATAATCAAATGTAAAAATGTAATCTATATCGGACAATATTCGCGTACAATAATTATTTGTAATTTCCGTTTATTTACAACGAGATAAAAAAAGAAAAAATATAGGAAAAAAAATTAGAGAAAAGAAAAGGATGTTTCTTTTCTTTTTTTTTTTTCTTTTTTCTTTTTTTTTTCGCTATGATATACTGATAGATATTTTACGAAACGATACGAATAATCTTTGATCCCACAGATATGTGGTCTTGTTCCTCGATATGCCGATGAGGAATTTTATAAAGCTACTGATTATCTTCTCGCGATACATTCGATTATACCCTCCCTTTTTTTTTGTTTTAATCGTCTTTTGTTCACGTGAGAAAGAAAATCAGATTATTTATCATTGGTCATGTTGAAAAAACTGTTTGTGTAATTTTTTTGTCGTTAGTTAGTTTGGTGATACCTAACGAGAAAGATTGATAACTGTATCGGTTATTTGAAAAATTGGAAATTGAATTTGATCAAAATAATTATTGTACATTTACTGTGATACTTCAACAACAACAAAGACGAATAATTTAGAACGAACGGTCAGTGAACATTTTTACGATGACATGTCTTTTTATCTAGTATTAATAATAATTATTGCTATAGGATATTGTTATAAAATTAAACATTGAAACTAACAATAAGAATAGAGAACATAACGCATATATAAATTGAATGATTTTTTAGACCAACGATTAAAATGTAATTGAGAAAATGATTTTGACCGTGTCAAACGATTGATAAATATTAAAATAGAACTGAAAATGTAATAAATGGTGTCAATTATTTTGTTCAATATGCCTGTTGGCATTTGAGATAAGGGTAATATTTTTATCGAAGTATAGAAAAGGTTAAGAGATTAAATTGAATAGAATAAATGTTACCGTGTTGCGCTACTGTTTCAAGATTAAATGTAAACGTATACGTTAACTCGTAATACCAATTTTTGGATATTTTTTTGTATGTCGATAGCAACTGACGATCATGTAATTAGATAAAATACTTATTACACGAACTACTATTATTTGAAGATTATATACATATAATCGAAAACCTATAAAAATCGTGTCAATTGTGTTTGATTTGTAATCGATTGCACATCACAAAAAACAATTTGTTAATATCAATATATACAATGTCGAATATATAAAATTTAGTAAAACGATTGAAATTTTCAATTGATCAATAATACGTATTGTTGTTTAATAAAAATTTGCTAAAATCAAAAAATAAATAACAGAATATAAATGTTATCCAAATTAATCGTGGTGCACCACACTTGTGAAAAGATACGCGCGCGAAATTAGAAATTATTAATAATATATTTGAAATAAAATACGTGTTATAGTGATTCCATGTAATATTTGTAAAGAAATGTTGTATGATGAACGATAAACGGAACGCATGTTGAACCGAGATACTTTGTTAACGGCACAAAGACAACGACTGTGTGAGGAGACTGACTGAATAACAGAGGAAGAGAGAGACTGGTTAAGAGAACCGAAACGTTTCGAGTTCAAATTCTATAGGCGAGAGAGTGACTGGCCCGAAAAATAATGTGCGATAGTGTCGTCGGAGAAACCTCGATACGATCCTATAGGATCACAACAGTGATCGTCAACAAACTTTTTACGATTTACGAAAAACCCTTTTTATTTTTACGTTAATACCAAATTATTTCGTAAAACATCGGCCCGGTTTTGTCGATACGTTTTCTACCGTAATATTATTATGTTGAACCAAAAGTTCGCGCGTACATTTTTTTCAATTAATATTTTCAAAATAAATTTTACAAAATAAACGAACAATTATATGGGCTTTGTATCGCACTATAAATTTACGAACTTTTGATTCATCCTAACAAACACGATTTTATTTTTAAAGATATTAATTTGTAATAATCATTGAAGATAAATGTTTTTGATTTCAATTCTAAACTATCGTATATAAATTTGAAGATCACTGATCTACTCTAAAAGTATATTGTACACTTTACTACAACACGTAGTAGTATTATACCTACGTGCACTTGAATTTGAGTGACGCGTGACCACTCTCGTTCAATCCCTCGTGTCCATTATACTATACTATCGCTTTTATTTTATCATCTTTCTCTTTCGTTTTACACCGATCATTTTCGAATACCACAAACTCTTTCTTCTTTTTTTTTTTTTATTATAGTAAACGGTATTAATAATGTATCTTTCTTTCTTTTTTTACGGTAAAACACGTGGCGAGTATTTAAACTCATGGATGGATAACGAGAAGTTTTGATCGTTTTATCTTCGTTCTTTTGATCATTTTCTTTCTTTTGAATCGTCAAAATGTATTCATTGAAAATTTCAATAAGTTATTTAAATTATTCAAAAATTTGCAAGCCTCGACTTAATTTCCGTTTGTTCGATTATTAATTGAACACGCGATTGGAATCATTTGAAAATTAAATTCAATTGAATCCTCGTTGATGCAGAACCTTTTCAACATTTATTGCGTTTATAAATTATTTTGTTTTTTTATTATATAGAAAATAGCATGTGCCTCTCGAATATTAAAACGTAATTTCAATTAATTCAAGACTTATAACTCTCGGTGTAAGAAATGAAATAAAACATTTCCCTGCTTAAAATAGAAAAAGAAAAAAAAAAAGATAAAACAACTAACGTAATTCCTCGTAAGGGTCCTCTGGGCAAAAAAAGTCCTTTAAATCCAACGTAAAATGGCCGCTGTCCTGTTCTCTCGGAAATTCTTGCGCATCTGCAAAGAACATCCTCGCGTGAGTTCTTTTTTCTTTGAATCTTTTTACTTGTTTTTTCGCAAAAATCATGACGATAACGAATCCCCACCCACTTTTTTGTGCATGTGTGTGTACGTGTGTATACGAAACGAGAGTTTTATATCCCAAGGACCCAGTTCGAAAGTAAGTATCATTAGAAAATGTGGCACGGAATAAGTTCAAAGGCAAACTCACCAACGAGTTTCGGCACTTTTCATTCTGTTACTATATTAAGATCAAAACGTTTAGAATGTGTTTCTTTTTAAGAAGATTGATATATATCATCTCCCATAACCACGATGGAGAAAGAAAGTTCAACGTTCAATGCACGTGCCTTTTATTTTAAATATCAGCCTTTCCTGAGTTTAGTGAACCTCATCCCCCTCCCCCGACCCCCGACCATCCCATTCAAATATTAATTCGACATTTGAGTGGACTAAAACTTCATGATCACTATCTTTATCGTAGAGTGCAAGTGTTAAAAGAATTTGTTATCTTTAAGAATTTTGTAATCTCGAGTTTCGATCTTTTAATTAGCTCACCAACGAAACAAAATCGATTTTTATTTATTTCGTACGATTTTGATAGATCGATCTATCGAAAACAGATGAGGTGGATGGCTGGGTAAGGGGTGGTGGGAATCTTACAGGAAATTTACGTTGTTCGTGATTTTTTTATTGCAGAAAAAGAAAAAATATCCAAGTGACAATGAAATTTGTGTTATGTTGTAAGATTTATTTAAGAGAATGTTCGTTACTCGTGGAATTCGAGTTATATATTCTATGGTCATTGGTAGACTAGGTCAAGGAGAATTACTGTTACCTAAAGTTCCCCTTTCATTTCGTTCAAAGAAGAAAAAAAAAAGAAGAAGGAAAAAGAAAACAACAAAACAATCACCTCGCACGTGGATCTATAATCACAGTATTCTTTAACTTTTTGTATTTCTTTGCTTATTTATTTATTCTTCATAATTGCTTTTTTTTTTTTTAAAGATTTATACTAATTTAATTCATTTTTTTGTTATAACTATAAATTACCACAATGGTGGATCACGAATCGACATAAGGGAAAGTAAAAGAAAAGAGAAAATAAATTGTGAGATCGTGAAGACAAATTGTTCGGAATAATTTATGTTAATTTTTCGATCAATGTTGCAACATTGCTATTGCCGTAATCGAATATTATACGACAGTAATGTGACGAAGACTGTATTATTATACACAAAAGAAAAAAAGAAATAAGACAAGATGAAAAAAAAAATGAAGGTGGACAAACAAAAAATTGGTCAGAGAAAAATCGTTCATTTTAAACATAAGTTTTCACGATACACATTTAACACAATAACTTTCACGATAATGACATGGCCTAATTTTCTACGAATAAGCAGGTGAAACGGGCAGAGATCAAATTGGTATCAAGGTTATTTGAAAGTAGTTTTGTTACAAAAAGAAAAAAAAGAAAGAAAAAAATCTTACGGAAAAAAAGAGATCAATTAATTAACGAGAAAAAGAAGTAACGTTAGTTCGTTTATTAGGTAACTAATGTTAAAGAATTATCATGTAAAAATATCAAAAATTATCTTTAAATTGTTAATTAGAAATTTGACGTAAAAGGGAAATGAAATAATTTGATTATCACGGTGATGGTGGTTTAAATATTTCTTTTTTTCGGTCTTTTCATTCATTTTCATTTTTTATATTTCGTTTCTTCTTCTTTTTTTTTTTTAAATCTGTTCGAGATAAAAATCGAAAACACCAACCTGTATCGATCGTTGAGGATTTCGCGTCCAACTTGGCCCGATTATGCGATTCCGGATTCCTTTTAAGGCCCATGCACTTGAGTGCACTGGACTTGCATCCCATTTCCGTGGTGGCAAGTTCTCCGCCAGTTTGGCTATCTTTTTGCGTCTTCTTATTTTTTTTTTTTCTTATGTCGATCGATTTTTATTTCCTTCGATTAATATCGAATGATTTTTCAAGATCGAAATGGGGGGGGGAGAGTAAAGGGATGGTGGTAAGGGTTAAGAATTGACAAAGAAATGACGAAAAAATAAATCGATGGAAGGGGGAAGGGAAATGGGAACGGGACGAAGAAGTTGTCGAATAAAAATAATTTATTTTTAATTATGTTTAATAATAATATAACGATCGATTGATTAGTTTTTCATAAACAATTGTTTGCAATGTCGGAATAAATTAAAATGAATATATTTTTTAATTATCTCTAATCGTTAGAATATTTGATAGACGATAAATAAAAAGTAATAGTAAAAAATTAAACGTAAAAGTTTTATTTGGATAATGATTAAATAAAAAAGAAAGAAAAAAAAAAGAATAAGGACTAATGAAAATTTCAAAGATTATTAGCCATTCTATATTCTCAAACGAATATAGAACTTCAATAAGCAACTATAGTGAATATAAACTCGAACGTGTCTTATCGAGACGAAACGTATGCAGTCTTATCAGCGTTTGAACAACGATCCATTCGCAAATATGTGGTAAGAATAAAACAAAAAAAAAAACAGAAAAAAACAGAAAGAAAAGAATCCGTATAAATTCTGATCTATGCAGAAAAATCAATTTCAACGCGAGGAATTGTAGTAATTATAAAAAACAAAAAAAGGAAGAAAGACAGGAAAGAAGGTAATGAAAAAAATAAAGAAACAAATAATTCGTAAATGCTTAAAACCACTCGCCAATAAATTGTCTAATCTTCGTTAAAAAAATAGAAAATAATAACTCACACTTTCGTAGCACAATAAAACGCGCGATTTACTAGTCGTATCACTTATCAATATCCCGCACACATGATCATATTGCAATGATTTTTTTCCTTTTCCTAATCGTTTTTCTCTCGTTGTAGTATTGTTTTCAAGAATAAGGAACGTTGTTAACATTTAATAACAACACAACACTCCCAATACTATCGATCAATACTAGGAATAAACGTCATCGTGAAATTAATCTTACTAGTTTACTACTACTATTCTTACGATGACGATAAATCAGATCGCAATTACGTTTAAAATAAGACAACATATCGTAATAAATTTAAACAATGACGCGTTGGGAACTTCGAGATTATTATATATATATATATTTCATATATTGGATTTAAATTAAATTAAATACAAAATTGTTTCAATTTAAATCCGAATGTGTATTTTTTTTGTTGTAAATATAATTTTGTTGGATATGTTTCGAGAAGAAAGATGAATTTTAGATGAAAAGAATTGTGAAAAATATTCAATTGTAAATACACGATATTATATCTTCTTTGGTTAAGAGTCTAAAAAACGTCTGAACAGGATCGTGACGGTGGCATACTGACGACAATAACGAAGACGATGAGAAAGACAACACCCACTAGTCATCGTTTAGAGTAGACGTTTATAGTATCGCTAGTAGCATAAAAGCATTATTACGCATCGCGTAACGCTGAGTTGTGCTTTAAGTTTTAATAAAGGTAGGTACCCCACACTCGCGTAGACGGCATGGTGGCCTTCAACTGCACTGATTTAACTTTGCCATCTCTCGAGGACACCTTTGTTCGAGAAAAAAGATTAACACGCAAGAGAGAGAGAGAGAGAGAGAGAGAGAGAGAGAAAGAGATTGCAAGATACGCATTCGACGATCTATTACGTTCGTTTAATATGACGATGTACTTTTCGTAAAATTGATAAGATCAGAAATCGACTGATATTCCGAAAGAAAGAAAAGTAAACGATTGATGAAACATAAAAGAATTAATAACGTGCAGTCATTGGGAAATTTTTGATTTAATATAATAATGTTGAGTAACACGTTAAACGCATCTTTGCATTTACGTGTACGTGTGTTTCTTTCTTTGTTTCGTTGAAATTTATTTTACAAGATGTATAGAAATATAATTTAGAAATGTTAAAGTATTGTTCTTATTTTTTGTTGTTTAATCTATGAACGATTCGATTTCCGAGAAATATAATCGTCGATTACAATACCTAATAGATCGAATCATGTTGCAATATCCTTGCAAACTAAACGATAAATAGGCGAAGGATGATTCTCAAGAAAACAACTTTGTTTTTTTAATAAGAGAGTAACGAATGAGAATTGGCATACAATTTGCTTAGGACAAATAAAACGTCTTAAGAAGCCGGCTATCGTATAAAACGATTATTTATTTAGGGTACGTTTTAGTATTTCCGTGACGTAAATTATCAGATCTTATCGCCCATTTGCGTTAATGTATCTTTTATTCTCTTACTTTATTTTTGCTAATCTATTTGTTTATTAAAGATTCGTAAACATTCTTACCGGTGCATTTTATATTATCTATACTAATGTTTTTTATTACGTTGATCTAATCACTCTTAAAAATAATATAAGTCCCATATAAAAAATATTAACCGAAACTTTTTAAAGAAATGGCAAAGATGCACAATTTACAGCATTGCATTCTCAGACATTTTATAAACCTTTGCAGATCGATTTATAATTTAACAAAGTATTCTACGCGTAGTAAAAACAGTGTACTTTAATTTTATTTTAGAGTCATCAACTTTTGTTTAAAGTATTATTTTGTCAGGTTATATATCGCAAGTATTTGAAAAATCGTGACTAGTGTTATGTGGGATACCCTGTATATAAACAATTTTAAAATTACTCACTTCAGTCTCCTATATTACAATAATTCCTGTGTCACATCGGTAATCGATCATTATCGAGATAGATATTATTATTATTATTTACTAGAAGTTACGTTCTCGTTAATAAATCAATGAAAACTTAAAAAGTACACACACGCAGACACAATTCGTTCGGTTTTCCGTTTCGTAATCGCGATTCCGTAGGCAATTTCTATATATAATTAGAAAAGTTAATTAAGTCATCAGATGTCGAATTATGAATCTATATTAAAATGCAAGACCATAAGGAAATGAACGAGGACGAACGATTCGAGCAAGTTTACAAGGTTCGAATTTACATTATAAATTTAATAAACATTATTACGATATATATTTCAACGTAATTTTTCATACTTTTCCTTTATTTTCTATACCTTTTGTTTTATCGGATTTTTCGTTGAAACGAGTTCTCTCATCGATAAGGTTCTTTGCCACGAACGTTGCTTGAAGCATCTGCCAACTATCGAACCTTATCTCCGTGAGAAACATTTGCGACTTTGCGCCGATCGTGTTGGACTCAATGATTGGCCACCGATAATAGGTGCCATTGCTAGGAATCGAGACCTCGTGGAAATTTTCATTTACAGTCGAACGAAACGTAGAAAAGTACGGGAGAAAATTAATAATCAAGAAAAACTCGAAACTTTATGGTAAAATCAATATATCATCTATTTTCTTTATATAATTTAAAAGAAAATTGTTTCTTATTTTTTTTCGAATTTATTTAATACACACTTGTATCTAAATGTATGTACTTTAATTTGTGAACAATCAGCAAGCTTTGGGGTTAATTTTTTCACTTTAAATATGTACAAACATTTTCAGATAAATCTCTATGATTATATTTTAATTTTAATTTGTTTGAAAATTTGTTTGAAAAATTGTGCTCGAGTTTATGCATACTTGTTTGCGTTTAAATTCAATTTTTGTCTTTTTATTATTACAAGGCGTTACAGAGCAAAGGATCAACAACAACAGCCAATACTTTACACGAATTTCTTGCTACGATGTTTCCTGAATTCAATAACGATCTGCATTAAAGAATCCACGGCATTGAAATCTCTCGTTTTAGATGGAATTCCGCTTTCACCTAAATATCTGCGCTTATTGTGCGACGGTTTCGTTAACAATATTTCGTTAGATAATTTGTCTTTGCCAAGATGTAACATCGGTGATACCGGTTGGAAATTTATATACATATATATATTTTTGTTTTATAAAGAAATAAAATAATATAATAATATAAAAATTGATGTAATATTTAGGTTGCGACATGTTGTTGAATTCTTTAAGAGATCACCCAAATTTGAAGAGTTTAGATTTATGTAATTGTTGTTTGACCAATCGAAGTATCGGATCATTGTCATTATTTTTGAAATTGAGAAATGTAAATACTTCACGAAACATTTGGAAGGATTTGAATATTGACAAATCTGGAATAAAGGTATCCTTTTTATATTTTATTTTGTTTGTTTCTTTTTTGTCAAATTGAAAAATAATAATGGATACAAAAATGATAATTTTAGAATCACGGATTGCACACGCTTTTATTGAATAAAAATAATAAATTGAACGACAATGGTATTCGACGATTGATGCACGCATTGAAGGATAATTTTTGTTTGAAAATATTAGGATTGAGGTATTGCGGTATCACTAAAACAGGAGCTGAAACTATTTTCGAGTGTCTTAGAATGAACGATGTATTAACAACGATTGATTTGAGAGAGAACGATATACCAAATGATATTTTACGATCTATCGTAAAAATATTGAGACGAAAACATGACGAGGCAAACGATCGTAACAAAAAATCCGATCGAAGATTCGAAAGGGACCCAAAGTTTCGCGAAAAAAAATCTAACAGAATTAATACGTCGCGTCGATTATTGATTGCTGACAAAATTACGGATAATACAATAGAATCGTATCACGAGATTAACGATTTCGTAGATGGTAAATTAATCGAACAAGTTAATTTAGAAAATTTGGACAATTTCAACGAGTTGGATGATAAAACGGAATTGAATTTGCAAGAATTGCAATTACGATTGGCCAATATGATTTCTTGCAACGAGGCTTTGGAAGATGAGATTAAAAAGAAAGGAATAACGTTGGAGGAAGAAAAAACTCGAAGAACTGAAGCTGAACAAACTTGCGAAAAGATAAAATCGCTTTTGGAAAGGCTCAAGGATAAAATTATCGTTCATTCCCGGACTCCTTCGGAAGAGGAATGCGGTATGCGTCATTCTACATAAAAAATACTTTATGTTAATAATAAATTATAATTTAAATACTTAATGAAATTAAATTAAAATTTAACATACTATGTTAAATACAATCATATATAAATATTTACAAAATTCGAAGCTCAGCTGTTAAATTAGAATGATATCGAATCCTTTATTTTGCTAATTCTCTTATACACGCATATAAATCTATTCAAATATTTGATTCGTTAAATTTATTTCGTTAATTGATATAGTAAGATTAATGTTAAAACTGCATACAGTAAGCATTTCATAAAAACCTTTTCATATAAACTGACCACCTAAGATGGGTCTTCGTAGCTCTGGTGGTAGAGTGTTCGTTCGGCAAGCGGAAGGTTTCGGGTTCAAATCCCGGCTCGGAACGATGGTAAACTAATAATAATTGATAACTGATTTTCATCAAATCTTATCAAACCAAGTTCCTGAGTAGCTCAAACGGTAGAGCATTCGCCCGAAAATCTTATTAAATCGAACAGAAGACCCATATTTTTTTGTCTCTTTTTTTTTTTTTTAATAATTTCGATAATAGCTTCTACAAAGAATTAATACTTTAAATATTTCTCTTTTTTTTTTATTTACGACAGAGGAGTAAAATTTTCCAAACATATCTGAGGAACAATCTTTTGAGGTAGTGTGTTAAATTAAAAAATTATCTAGTACTGTTTATAAAAAATCCCCTATAAGAGTTCCTGTTTCAAATCGGAAGCATTTGATAGCATTAGGTCAGGTAATTAAAATAAAAAGAATAGAAACTGCATCTCTAATTGTTGTTTGTTATTGAAAGTATATAGAATTTAATTACACATTCACTTTGTGTACACAATTTGCTATTAAAAGTTACTAGAAAGTAAGAAAGTTTAAAATATATTGAATTTCTAGTAACATAGCTAAGCCGATATCGGTAATAGTAGTGTTCTACCTTTATTTCACTGACCGAGATATGATAGTAACTTACCATCAGAAAAAATATATTTTGTAATTCCGTATGTAAGTAATAAGAATACAAAAAAATAGAAACCTATAACTATCGACATGTGATAATTGGTAAAAGAAGAAACCTACCTTTATGACCGGTTTTAATAAAAATTCTAACTTGTCTATTACTCTCATTCATATTAAAATTCACACAAATTAATATT